TAAAAATAAAAAATGTTAAAAATATAAAAAAATTAAAAACAAAAAATAAAAAATATCAAAAAATGTCAATAAAAATATGTATATATTTATCTGGAGGAGATGCTTTAGCTGGCTGTATAGTGCTCAATACGTATAGTAGAGCCTAAATAGAAATAGAAAAATCAACAACGAAACAAAGTTTCCGTGACTCGTAGTTTCATGCTTTCGCAATCATCAGACGGTGTTTATTCCAATGGAAGACATAGCTTATATACAGAATGCTAATTATGCGGTGTGAAACCTATACGAATTAGGCGGTGTGAAACTTAGTTCCTATAATTAGTGACACGTAATTCTACTGAAAGTGAATAAAAGCTAAGTTTTAAAGTTTGATAGGTATAATTGGTTTTCGTGGCGGCATTTGGAAACTAGTTCAGATCTCGTGTTGAGTAAAGTGTTTTTGTCGGCTTGGAGAATGCGGGCTTTTTCTGCGAGGCACAGACTATATTTCTTAGTTTTGTTAGAGTAGGCAGGAGCGTGGCAGAGAATAGACCAGTGAATCGAGTAGGTTGTTTGGCTGTTTTTCAGATCCCAGATGTGCTTTGATAGTTCGGTGGAGTTGAAGTACTTAGGGTCGCGGAAAGAAAGGGTGTGTTGGGTGTAGCGACGTTTAAATCTACCTTCTGTGAGACCTATGTAGTTTTTTCCATTGGGGTCGTTGTTCGTTGTGACGTTGGCTATGTAGATCAGGCTTGTAGAGAGACATTTATTATTTAGGGGGCAATTCGCTTTCGTCCTGCAGTTGCATCCATCTTCCTCGGTAGTTTTAGGGGTGTCGAGAATGTTTTCTTGGTTAGTAAGCAAAACTTTTACGGTACACAACGACAATTTTCATTCTTTGATATTTTTACATAAAATAACAGTGGAATAGTTTGCCCCGTAAATAGCTAGAAAGCTAATCGTGGCTGGGTAAGACAAGTACCTGAATAATATAAATCGTTTAGTATCTTAGGACAAGGAGTCGTTATTTACACAGTCACACAGTCACAGAGTCACACAGAAAAAGATAAGAATACATTTAAACTTAGAAGGTGTATCTATATACCTACTTTTTTAGTGATCATGGGGATTTGAATATAGTTATCTTCTTTTTCTAAGATATTAAATAGTAATTTGCGAAGGACTTTTTAATAAGCTTTCTTTGGGAGTTCCATAATACGGCTTGGTATCTTAAATCACAGATTTACTCCGATCCGAGAGAAGGAATTGCTTTGTATTTCTAGTCTCGAACTTTTAACATAAAACTATCCAGACGTAAACGATCGTGTGTTGCATGAGTGAATATTAGACGCTTTCTGAAATAGATTTAGTATGTTTGCTGGGGCTTTATCGTTATTGATATCGTGCATTAGGGTTGATACGGACTCGTAATAAAGAAAAGTTATCCGAAGCACCTTTGCTATAAGAAATAAAGGAATTGCATGGTCATGCCAGTCTGCGAAGTACAACAGACGAAGGTAATTTTGGTTTTAGACAGCGAAGAACAATTCGCGAAATAGCAAACTAAACTACCATTTTTTCTCCCGTCCAGCACAAAAATAATACAAATAAATAAAGGCCCTATATTATGTGCTCCAATTAAGATTGAAAACTAATAATCACCTTTTCCTGTATTTATTTTCCGTTTCCTTCCCTGCGCATTTTTTCTCACCAGCTCGATCTATGGAGTCTCAGCTGTTCAAAATGGATGGCTGTGAATAAGCGATTTTGAACTGCAAAGAGAACAGTCATCCCGAGGTGCAAAATATTGATCAGAGCTCAAACATATAAGTTCTAAAGAGTAATTGTATCCTCGCTTTTCACCCCACGTCAACAACTCACCTGATGTGATATATCCACAAACACTTGGGCGTATTTCTAGTAAAAGGATCTTTTCTTCTCCGTTCCGGTGTTAAGTATCCTTGAAACTCTTGGCCAGTCATCAACGTAAATAATCTGAAGTTACTTCTACTGTTTTGATGTCATTTTCTTCAACGCTTTTCAATGACGGTGTTAGACAGAGTCTGATAACTTGCCAAAAAGGAAAAAGCACTTAAGTACGTTCAAGATGTTCAGTATTTACCGTCTTCTTGCTGTCAATCGGTTGTCCGGGTGAATTATCAGAGCACAAAAGAAACAACCTTAGAAACCAAGATGCTGCTCACATAAGCTTCACCCTTCTTGACAGAAACGTGTAGAGTTGATTAGCGTCTTAAGTTATTAGTTTACCAGGATTATATATGCATTATGCAGGGTTTCGAAAAACAACCTATATTACTTCAGCGTCACTGGAGAACATTGCTTCCTTTCGAAGTAGGGCCTATATTTATTAGGGCGTTTCTTGAATTAATTTTGCTGAGAGATGGTCAGAAGTGGTAACTCTCGATAGCCCTATATGAGCCGTACTTTGCGTAACAGATTTGCAAAGCTTAAACTGTTTTTTATAGCAGAAACATTCAACGGAAACTCATAGTGTAAAGAAGTAAACGCTAATTGCAAACCAGCAGTACATAGTCATGTTATCCCAACCTAAATGTTGACGTAAGTGTGACCCACATGCACGCTGTAGCTATTTACATCAGGGCAAAAGTCAGCACCCCAAGCTGACTGATTTCGATTCGGAGAGACATTTTATTGCTGACCAAAACTGCAGAATTCCTTCATGAGGGCTTCGACAATATGTTTTCTCTGTATAGTTCACCCAGATATTGTTGTTAGTTACAAATAAATAATAATACCACATCTCAGTGTTAAATCGTTTTCAATTCTTAATAAACTATTAGTTAGATTGGTATTGGTTTAATATCTCTAGTAATCTATATCTAATCAACTTCTCAAGAATATCAATTCCAAAATGACGTCGATCGACAACAAAACCTTGTTATATTTTTTTATCCTTGATATTTTGATATTCATTTGCCGAGCTTAAGTTATTATAATACTTGCAAAGTTTAAATTTAGAGAAATCGATCATTCCCAAATTTTATGAAGACTCAGTTGAGAATTCAGTCATTTCTGAGAGTACTTTCTTGTGTGTACTAATATGAAACAGGTTTAAAACATATTCATTTAAATTCATGGCAGTCTTATCTACTTAGGTTCCATTGAATCAATTGATAAAGCATGCTATGTTAAAACAACTGTTCCAATCGGTAAATAATTGCAATAAAAATGTGATGTAAACCATTCACTTCACTTAGACATTTCCAGGGTTAAATCGTATGATTCATGAAACGGGAAAAGATGAGATGAGAAAATATACACTATTGGTCTCGGATAATAACTCTCAGCTAGAATTAGAGCTAGACTGATTGTAAGATATAGCTTTGTTTAAAAGAAGATAAAGATATCAGACATGAGATGTAATTCACAGTATTACTTAGAATGTTACTGCTTTTGGATGTCTTTAACTGGAAGAATATCAGAGCTCGTATAAGAACATCGGTGGGAGAGATGGAATATAATTTTGAGTTGAAATAGAGCAAAAATAAAAACTTTACACTGACTTCTCTCCCGTTTTGGAAACATATTGGTCTTTCTTACGAGGTAATTAAGCAAACTGATACCGGGAAATAAATTTTATTCTTGTTTTAGGTATCTGTAAAAAAAAAAACAAAGTACTCGGTAACAGCCGTTCTTGATCATTAAAGTTCCAATGAGCATATCAGGTTTATTTATGTCTGTGGGTAAAATCACCATTCGAATGCAAGTGGAGGAGTCAATATTAGATTGTCTCAATAAGGGCCAACTCTTCTATGACGTCACGTGACACTTTGCTATCAGACATCTTCTCAAGAGCGTCGTGTTTATCAGCAAGAACCGACGCGAGCAACTCACAACGATCGCAGGTTTCTAGATGATCATGTGGACAGGTCATGTGATAATCCTTGTTCTTTGTATTACTCAGGGCATATGCTCTGCAATGGTCTGGAATGTTGGATTGCTTCGAAACGTTCACCTGCAAAGACGATATCAGTTAGTCACAAATAATCACCTTTTATTTGCCTAGGTCAACACACGACATAACATATGCTTCACTAGCGAGGAAAAACGCAATTTTTAAGCGGTCTAAAAAATTCGAGCTTTCTAGTCACGTGACTAGAGACATAACAACCTCGAGGTCGCATTTAGTGTGTCTTCATGAAAACATTTAACAAAGCGTTAGTTTAAGTTTCTGTACGCTCCAAACTATAAAATGTATATCCACCGACCTAGTCTCCCACTTTTTTCACTCAGGCAAACTATGTGAAGTGCTTTCAGTTGCTCAGTGCCTGTCCTTGCATTGAGATAAAATGCCCTTTTAGACGCCCTTTTACGTGACTGATGATGTCATCACTTCAGGTTTGCGGAAAAATATACTTCAGGGCAAGCGTCTTTTTCAAGCTTAAACCTGTTTTTTGAGATCTTTATATATGCATATCATAAAGTTTTTTCAATTTTACCCTAAAATTCGACCTTCAGATAACGCTTTGCAGGCTTCGGCCGCTCCTTTTGTTCCCTTGCCCAAGTTATTCTCGTAAATTCGTCGCCCAATCTGTTTACTACGTCAGCGAGATCGTCGAAGGCCTGACTCCCTCCAGAACCTATAGAATCGAGACCTTAAAGAGGCTTTCGTACAGAGGCGAAAAAAACAGTCAGGGTTCTCAAGACCGTGCTCCGGTAAACCCACCCATCCCACCCCAGGGGAGGACATCCACCACACAAAAATCTCGTGCGTGGGAAATTAACGTCTCCTACCCCCAACCCTGCAGGAGACGGGACCTCCATTTATTCGTCCCATTGAGTCTTCATAGGATGTCCGACGGTCCCTGCATTCTAGAAAGGAATTTAGCTTTTCAAGTGCTTTTTTATTCTGGTGTGAGGGGATCGTCTATGTCTGTTGGGGAGTAGACACTTAGCTTGTTGCTGGAGTCTGAGAGAAGACACCTAGCTTGTTGCTGGAGTCTGAGGGTCAACGAGAAAGAGAGACGAAGGTGTGCTTTCTGCCACTTGACTTCCTGATTTGTACTCAAATTTGTTTCATCCTGTAGTAAATTGATGTAATTAAACTGTTAACCTAGAAAGACACCTCCTCTTATTTAGAAATGACCTGAATGGTAGATGAATTAGCTATACATTTGACACATGAAATGCGGGGAACCATGAACTGCAGTGTTCGAGGACAGGCTTTGTTTAATTAAAGCTAGGTTAGTGTTTAAAAGGGTGGGGGTAGCGGGTGATGGTGTTCCTGTTTCTCAAACTGATTTGCCTTCATCAATGAGTAATAATTAACTTTTTTTACGTAGCCGTGCAACCCCTTTCCCGGGCTGTCTTTTCCTTCAACACGGTATAGTGGCCTGAGGACAAAGTTCAACACGGTCACAATAGCTTTAACGTCAAGTAATATTCTCTCACCAAAGACAGCTCTTCCATTTGAAAAATGACTTGGCTATCCTAAAAAACCACTCGTGAAGTTATCATCTCAGTTTTCATTTTGTTCAACATTTCCTGCATTTAGGGCACACGCCTAAGATCACAATTATCAAAACACAAATTTTATCATAATTGTGAATACCCAAATAAAATTAGCCTGTTTCTGGTGTCTCGTCTGGTTAACTGGGAAGCAGCGCTAACGAATTCGAAAGTAAAAAATAACGTGCGAGAAAAATTGTAGCGCGGGAAAGCTCCTCACTCCAAGCCCCTCCCCCCATTTCGTCTCTTGATTCCACTGTCTTTCGCGCCAGCGCGCTGCACCCCAAAGGCCTGCAAAAGCCTTTATTGAAACACATCTAGACAAACCTACAAACAAACAAACCATCGCCTTTTCTGAGATTGCAAGGTTAAAACCTCGTAGCTGCATTGTAATTACGTTTCGTCAAGAAAAACAACAATGTTGATGCTTATATATTAAAGAATACAAACCTGAGCCAACGGCAAGAAAAAGTCCAGTTTCTTGTAACACTGCATAGGAGCCCGCTTTTCTTAAACCTATATCTGCTTTTGGCCTCTTATTAATATCCTCACTATGATTATACAGTATACAAGGCACTTTACACTTGTCCGGAACTCGGCGTGTGCATTGCTGTATGTGCTAGACATACTGCCATCTGATCAATATTCGGGGAGAAAAGAATATGGATGCTCTCGCCGGAATCAACTCAACTTCATTATCTATGCCGTGAAACGCAAACATCGCCTTGGTCCGGTTACATCCCACTTACAGCTAAGTAATGGAATACATTCCTTTGCTCTGTTCCTGTCTATTTTGTCGTGACCACACTGGCATCCCACAATCGATAGAAATCAACAAGTATTTTCTATAATTCTTAGGTGGCTTGAATCAGCTTCTGTGTTTTCAGTTCTTTAAATTTATTAACGCAGATGTCAAAAACTGACTGCTGTAAAATTAAATTAATTACCACCAGACTATATATATCTTTTAAACAATAATTAATCGTAATGATATAAATAGATATAATGGTCGAAAAGCACGGTTAGAGGTTTATGAGCAATGCTGTTTTTGCTCTTTCAATCAAACAATCCTTTTTTCAGTCACCCGGAGCGGACAGAAGGGCAGTAAGCTAAGAGCATCTTAAGCTCTGTATTGACTGCTGAGTTAACACTTCGATTTATTAAAGCTCCTTCGTATATTGTTTACACCAGTTCGTTCGGGTTAAGTAGCCGTCCAACTTGAGCCAAAAATCGTTGAATGCTCGTGCATTCATTCCACCAATTACAGTAGTGTGATGGACCAATCAGGCCAAGGGTTGGAGACACAACCAAAGGTATCGTCGCATTTCGCTGACCAAGGACTTGTCTGAAAGCTCTTCGCAAACTCTGTCTCCCCCATGGCTTCCAGCAGTCCTTATATGTTGTATCCGTATTCGTCGATTAATACGCATTGCGGAAGAATTTCGTTCCGTTCCATTCCGAACGTACCCAGCTCAAATTTGGATGACATCCAGTCTGTTTCGTTCAACTGGTAATGGTATGGACTTGCAAGTTTAATGCGTGTAGGCACACCGTCAATAACTTTTCTCGACAGTCCTGCTGGGTACGAATGCTTCAAAGCGCCTTGTTAATCTCACTCAAAGTAAGCATGCAGTTCTTATCCACTATTTCATTATGGTATTCCTACATTTTTTCATCCTCCTTCATATTATTGCGACCACCACGTGGCTTACAACCAAGGTATCCACCATTAAAACGAAAATTGGGAGTTTTATGCGATAATTCTGAACAAGA